GTGACAACCACTGGTACCGCTCTGCTCCCCAGTGCCCACAGCCCAGGTGTCCCCAGGCCCAGCCTGCCCCCCACCGCCCTGATCTGAGGCCCGGCACGCACCGAAACAGCCACCGAACATTTCAAACTCCGTCCCCCATTGCTTTCAAACGAGGAAATCAAAGCGGAGCGCTGCGCTTTGTTCTGTGGGGGAGCGGAGATGGAGGTGAGCAGCAGCACAGCCCAGCACTGCTTCAATCGGCCCCAGCCCTGCTTTGAAGCGGAGCAGAAATCTGAGAGGAGGGGCAGGGATCCGAGTTCTGCTCTTTCACTGCAGCTTCACAGAACTGAGAGATGTGGGGGGTATGAGCGAGCCTCGCCCGTGCCGGAGAATACACCTCTGCGCAGGCAGAGCACAGAGCCAGAGTGTGATGAGAGCAGGAGCAATGCTGAGCAGCCAAACCTTCACAGCCTCTTCTTTTTCCCACAGTTCAGCCCCACATGCTGCCCTCTGCTTTAGAGCCACACAGGATGAAGGGCAGCACGCTGTGTCCACATGCAAGGCGATTTTCTGTTAGGAAGACTGAAATTAGGCACGGGCTGCCCAGAGAGGCGGTGGTGCCCCGTCCCTGCAGACAGCCAAGGTCAGGCTGGACGGGGCTGTGAGCACTGCTGAGCTGTGGGTGTCCCTGTGCGCTGCAGGGAGCGGCACCAGGCGGCCTTCCAGCTCCTTCCCACTCCCATGGTCGTACAACTCTCTACCGCCAGGGGGAGCCCTAAAGCGATGGGAGGAGCCTCGCTAAGCCCCGCGGACGCGACTGTGGGCGGGGTTGAACCGAGGCTCCTCCCGCAGCGCTCAGCGGCCATGGCGGTGTATCGCTGCTCGCTGTGCCGCCGCACGTTCTTCACCGGCCGCCGCCATCTGTACAGCACCGCGCACCGGCGGCGGCTGCAGGAGGCGCTGGGCCGCTTGGAGGAGGAGGTGGCGGCGGCGCGGGCGGCGCTGGACGGCGCTGCGGTGCGGCTCTACGACCCGGCGGAGCACGAGCGGCGCGTGTGGTGTCTGTGCTGCGGACGAGGCGTGCGGAGGGACGGGAGGAGCGGAGCGTTGGCTCTGCCCCACGCCGGGCTCCTGCAGCACCTGGCCGGGTAGGAGCAGGCGGTGGGCTCGATGCCAGTCGTGACCGCGGTGCCGGCCGTGACCGCCGTCCCTCCGCGCTCCTTCCGTCCCAGGGCTGAACACCGACAGGAGACGGTGCGGTTCTGGAGGGAAAACCGCGCGGATGCGGCGCTGCGGGAGCGGTTCGTGGTGCCGGCTGAGGAATACGAGCGGTTCGCGGCGGCGTTGCGGAAGGCGGTGGGAGCGCACGAGGAGCGTGAGGAGGAAAACATCCGGCAGGTGAGGGATGCGGAACCCCCGCAAACAGCCCTCCCGTCCTCTGCTCGTTAAGGGACCGCCCCTCAGCGCCGCTCTGTCCCCGCAGATGGCGGCCCGCATCCGGGAGGCGGAACGGAGGCAGCGGGACACCGTGCGGGCGGCCCTCGAGGTTGGTGCCGCGGAGCTGAGCCGTATCCAGCGCTGCTGTGCCGAGCGACGGGGGTTGGACGGGACGGGAAGGGAGGGAGGGGTTGGCGGGCATCGCTGAGTACCAGAAATCTCGTTGCTTTTTCCTGAATCGAACTCAGCCTCCAACAGAGACAGAGCGTTGTGTTGGACCTCCCGGCTGCAGCTCCGCCGTGGGATCTGCCCGGTAAGAGCCGTTTCCCTGCCCCAATCCCGGGCCTAAGCATCCTCCGTTCATTCACATCTTTAACCAACTTTTACCTGAAGTACGGCAGGCAACAAATGCCCAGGCAAATTGTTCTCCCCTCCACAAAGAAGTATGTAATCAGCAACCATCATAAAAATGCACTGTGTGTACTCATTGTGGCCTTCCAGTACAGTATATAAGTATATACAGTATATACTTCCAGGCAGTATATAAACAGGAGGGAGAATTTTACATGGGGATGTAAACTTTACATGTACACTATTTACATGGGGATGGTTTTAAATTAAGACGGGAGGTTTAGGTTGGATATCAGGAGGAAGTTTTTCACACACAGGGTGGTGAGGCACTGGCACAGGTTGCCCAAGGAGGCTGTGGATGCCCCATCCCTGCAGGCATTCGAGGCCAGGCTGGATGTGGCTCTGGGCAGCCTGGGCTGCTGGTTGGCGACCTGCACACAGCAGGGGGTTGGAACTGGATGAGCGCTGTGCTCCTTTGCAACCCAGGCCATTCTGTGATACACCAAGACCAATTCTTTTTTTCTTATCCCAAAACTCACTGAACACCACTTTAATGCTGTTTCAGGCTCATCTCTCAGCCTGTTTTGTGGTTCCTGTGTTCCAGGGACATCTCTGGTTGTGCTGAGCTGCCCGGCCCAAGTGCGATGCAAACAGGACCAGATTTAAGCTGGATGGAATCAGGCCAGGCTTTGACCTTCATTGGCCACCAGGTGGGAGCACAATGTTGTTAATGAATTCAATTTAAGTAGCTACAAGTTACATGTTACAAAACAAAACGAGGGGTTACAGTCACCCCAGTGAACCTCGTGCTGAAAAAGGCATCTTTGCAGTCAGGCCATGAGCTGAGATTTACACTGGGTCGCACTTACATTGAAGCAAACTTTGTTTAAAATGCGTTTTAAGAGAGCTCTCCTTAGACAGAGGAGAATAGTTGCCCTTTCTGTAGCAGAACTGGAAGGGGATTTCTCAGATGTTCCTTGTGTGCAGCACTTGCGGCGTCACCCCCTGGTCACAGAGGCACTTAAAAGCATCACTTGTTAATTACTGTTTTATCTTCCCCTTAACAGGAAACAGAAGGGAAAGGAAATGTTCATACAGGTAATCTTGCTTGCTTCTCAGCTACTTTTCCAGCTACCCCAAAAACACGGGTTGCAAGAGGGGTAACTTACAGCAGTTTTGTAATGGTTATAGCATACCCAAAGGTGCTGACTCTTGTGCTACAATATTGATGTGCTAATAATAATAATAATAATATAGAAGACTTTCATATTGTGCTGCTGCTGTGCAAAGTATCTGGCTTTAGGTGTGATTTGGCCTTGGCCTTAACCAAGGCAGGCCAGAAGCCTTTTTTTGCAAGCCTTATTTACAGAACATAAACTTCACTTTTTCTTTACTGCTTACTTTACAAGGTGCAGGTACAGGGGAAGAGGGAATATTCCCTCTCTCAGGCTGAGCCGTTAATTTTACTGCAGTGATTGAATGCATTTTCCCTGTGTCTTCCAGGAGCAAAACCTCCCTGGCTAACAGATGAAGATGAGGAGGATGGAAGCAAACAACAAATTGGACCTTCATATGAGGAATTTCTCAAGCAAAGTAAGCAGCTTATATACATTTACCTTTAAATACACTCCAGTACTGCAGTGAAGAATCAAAAGGAATTTGACTGAAAAATTCTTCCCAAATTGCCTTTTAGAGGAGAAGCAGAAGCTCAAAAAGCTCCCAGCAGAGCGTGTTGGTGCCAATTTTGACCATACCTCCCAGACGGGGGACAGCTGGCTTCCTTCCTTCGGCCGGGTTTGGAATCATGGCAGGAGGTGGCAGTCCAGGTGAGCCTGAATAGCACAGGACTGATGCTGAGTTGAGCGTGAGCAGAGGACACCGTGAGCAAGCTGAGTGGTGCAGCGGACACAACAGCAGGAAGGGAACCATCCAGAGGGACCTGGACGGGCTCAGAAAGTGGGCATGTGAGAACCTGATGAGGTTCAGCAAGGCCAGGTGCTGCTCCTGCCAACAAGAAGGCTGACAGTCCCCTGGGCTGCAGCAACAGAGGGGTGGAAGCAGGGAGAGGAGACCGAGGGAGATGTGCCCCTCTGCTCTGCCCCTGGCAGGCCCCACCTGCAGTGCTCTGTGCCTTCCAACCCCATCAGCCATTCTTTGATGGCTGTCAAGCAGCTGAAGCACGGTTCACTGAAATAACTGAACAAATTGAGGGGAGCTCCTGCTCCACATGTAGCACTATTCTATGACATGAGGCAGTTTTCATTACCTCTTTATAAAGGTTATTGAATGCTGACATCTGTGCTCTCTTTCAGACATCAGTTTAGAGCTGAATCAGGAGGAAAGAAGAAAAAAAGGTGATCAGAAGAACACAGAACCCAGGCTCTGACCTCTGTGAAAAGGTGGACTGGAGATAGCTGTACTTTCTGTCAGTGTCAAGGTTTTCAGTACTCATGTATGTATGTATGTACACATCTAGACGCATTCAGTCTCTTGAAAGGTCTTATTAGTATGGAAGTGATGAGTTGAGCACCATTACTGAAAGCTACATGGGAAGGGGAAGCTGCAGCAGATTCCATGTACTATGGATCCAGGCATTGATTTCTGAAGTCACAGACAACACAAAGCCAGATCCTGCCAGCAGGTTTAGTCCCTTGCCCAGACAGTGCCTTTGCAGGCAGAAATTCCACCTTACACAGCATGTCTTGCCCCCTGTGCTACGTTGCATTTCAGCATAGTATCTCCTTAAATAAACTTATTCAAAAATCCAGTTCTGCCTCCCATGAAGGGTAACTAATTAACTTTCAGCAGGAGAAAGGAAGGCTCACATTTTTTTTGTATCCCTCTAAATAATGCTCTTTCGCTTTAAGTCTGTTATCTCCATTTACCCTGCCCTGATCAATCTTGTTTCCTTGTGAAGAAACAAAGGGGCATGGCTGGTTAGAAGAAGTTGGAACAAACAATCAAAATCTCCTACCCTATGCAAGGAAGAGGCTTCTGTTTTCCTCTTACATTCAGTTTTAGTGTCTCACATTAACCATAGCAGCTACTGCTGTTAAGCATTCTTTTATTGTGGGAAACTTTATGCTGCATTTGCAGTGCTTTATAAAACCCAAAAAAGAGAAAACCTGTCAAGAAGTGGCTGATGTAACAAGCTAAACCCCAATTTATACCAGAATCTACCCTCAGTAACACATGAATAATGAAACATACACATTTTTGAAAAAGAAGGGAAGTAATTATTTCAATAATTTTATTGTATGCATTTGTATAAGACGTTGCTGAGGAGGTCGCTGGAGAACCTGCAAAGCAAGAAGTCCCAAATCAGACCAGCAGCTCAAAGCAAATTACTGGGAGTCTCTGCTTAAACAAGGGCAATCAGTGACAGCATGCTTTGGCAGCAAGGATGCATGATCTACAGCCCACAGTGGTGGGAGAGATGCTGCTGCCTTCCCCATCCAAAGGGCAATGCAGACAAAACAGCAAATTCTTCTAATCCCGAGGGCTGATGTTTCCAGAAATTCCACGTTAAGAGTGCAAGTAACAGCCTCTGAACAGACTGGAGAAGTGACCAACCCCGAGCAACATGGAATCACTCATCACATGCTTCCTGCTGCTGCGTGCAGCTGTTTGCTAGCCTTGGATGTGGTGAAACCCAGTACACAAACACTGCTGTCTCACCTTCCTACGCGTCCTCCCCTGCAGCAGGGGCATCTCCACCTTTTGTGTTTCTGGTGTAGATCACTTGGGCTCGGTGCTTCGACACCAGTTTGATCAAACCTGTGAAAGAGGTGGTTTGAGTGCACATCTACTGCATGATACCAAGGATATTGTGCTGTCATTTTAATGCAGTGAGCCAAAAGATGTCCAACAGCAAATACCCCTAGGGTTCATGATACTTAACGTTACAGATTAAAGACTGTTTCCACGGAAAGAATGGAATCGGTGTTAGCAGGGATAATGACTGAGCACACACACACACGGAGGCTTTTGTTCAAGACCAGGAGTGGCTGTGTTACAACCTATTTTAACAGCATTTTCTTAGCACAGCATTACTACTAAATGCATCTGAGCCTTCGAAATACAGATGAAGGCAGCAACTTTTGAAAACATGCTGAATTGTGTACTTCAGGTGCAGCACATAATGGTGTAAAGTAGTGGTGAAAATCCTCAATTCCAGCAGCCTGGTGTTCTTCCAGAGTTTTGAAGGCTTACCTTTACCGAGCAGTTCCTGCAGAGCAGCCCTGGCCAGAGAGCCTCGAATCTTCAGTCTCTCTGAGACCACCGCTGGCGTGATGAGTTTGTAGTTGGGCACCTCTTTGCACAGCTTGTCGTAGGTGGCCTTGTCAAACAGCACAAGGTTGTTCAACTTGTCTCTCACTTTCCCCTTGGACCACTTCTACTCAAAAAGGGAGAAACCAACCGTTAATCCATCTTCTAAGCAATCTCTAAAGACTGGCCTCGGTCTTTCTGCACGTCCTACGCACCACCCTCAGCTGGTTCCGTCTCGCCCCTCAAACAGAACAAACGAGGCACACAGGAGCAAAGCGCGGGGTTACTCAGACTGAACTCTGCGCTCTGCGATTCTCCGCTCATACAGCGGCTCCCACAGCACGACGGCACCCACAGCGCGCAGCCAGAGCCCGGCTCGGGCGGTGTGTGGGTAAGGCCGGCGGCCCCGCTCTCCCCCGCAGGCTCCCACCTTTTTCTTGGCCTTTCCGCCCGACTTGTTGACCGGATCCTTGTCCTTCTTGGCGGACTTGCCGGCGTCCTTCTTCTTCTTATCGTCTTTGGGCGGCTGCGAGACGGAAGAAGGGACGGAACGATGAGGGAAGGCGCCGGCGCCCCGCCGCTCGCTCCGACCCCCCGCCGCCCGCACCCGGCCCCGCGCTCACCATGCTGCGGCTCCTGCTGCTCCCAAGATGTCCGCCGAGAAAGGAAGCTCCGCACGCGCGGCAGCCGGAAGACCCCGCGGGGGAGGGCGGGTGCCGTGACGTCACTTCCGCCGGCAAACTCGACAACGCCACTTCCGCGGGCGGGCGGCGCCATGGCGATCTTCAGCGTGTACGTGGTGAACAAGGCGGGCGGCCTCATCTACCAGCTGGATCACTACGCGCCGCGCAGCGACACCGAGAAGACGTTCAGCTTCCCGCTGGACCTGGTCCTGCGCCCGCGCGACGAACGCGTCGTTGTGGCCTTCGGGCAGCGCGACGGCATCCGCGGTGCGCGCCGGGCGGGGGGGGCGCCGGGCCGCGCCGGGCCCCGCTGACGCCGCGCTGTCCCCGCAGTTGGCCACGCCGTGCTCGCCATCAACGGCGCCGAGGTCAACGGGCGCCTGACGGCCGACGGCAAGGATGTGCTGGAGTTCCTGAGCAACCCTGCCAACTACCCCGTGTCCATCCGCTTCGGCCGCCACCGCCTCTCCTCCAACGAGAAGCTGATGTTGGCCTCCATGTTCCACTCGTGAGCTGGGGGCGGCGGGCGGCGGGGCCGGGGTGGGGAGGGGGATGGGGGCGGCGGGGCCGGGGACTCAGGGCCGTTTCCTTGCAGGCTGTTCGCTATCGGCTCGCAGCTCTCCCCGGAGGTGGGCAGCTCGGGCATCGAGATGCTGGAGACCGACACTTTCAAGCTGCACTGCTTCCAGACGCTGACAGGTACTGCCCGGCCTGCTCTGCTCTGCAGGGCTGCCAGGGGCTCAGCTCTCCTCATGCTCCTCTTTGTGGTTCCAGGGATTAAATTTGTGGTGCTCGCTGACCCCAGACAGGCAGGGATAGATGCTCTGCTCCGTAAGATCTATGAGATTTACTCTGATTTTGCCCTGAAGAATCCTTTCTACTCTCTGGAGATGCCCATCAGGTAAGGGAGAAGCCTACTAGTAAGAAAGCAGCCTCAGCCCTGCTTTGCTTTGTGCCTGTGCAGTAACAAGTGCTGGCACAGCCCAGATACGGAGATGATAGAAGAGGGAAAACAGTGACTGCTGCAGGTATGCAGGGGAGTTGGTCCACATGACCTTTAGAAGTCCCTTCCAACTCATAACATTTCTGATTCTACATGGCAGTGCTTCTTCCAGTGCTGCACTATTAAAGAAATGGGAGTTGCTTCTCCTTGGTGTGATCCCTGCAGTCCTAACATACTGTTAAAGCCCCTATGAGAAGCTTTCTTCTTAGCTGACAGCCAGTCCAAGGTTGACAGCAGATTGCTCTCAAGTTACAGAATCTCTCCTCGAAGGATGCACAGCCAGGCACTGTAGAGGTGCTGTCTGCCTTGGCCTTTCTATAAGTAAAGCCATCCATCCTCTTCTGATTTTCTCAATTTCAGATGTGAATTGTTTGATCAGAACTTGAAGCTTGCTTTGGAAGCAGCTGAGAAAGCTGGACCATTCGGACCTGGATCATAGAAAATGAGTTGCCTATTGCGTGGTCTCCTCTCCATGGAGAGCAGGGCCTTTTTCTTCCCTGGCAGCTGTGTCCCAGAGCTCTCTTCACCACAGCAGAGACCTCATAGTCTGAAAACATGTTTCCTATCTCCCAGGATACTGCGTTCTGCTCTTCTCATGTAAAATTGACCTTAAACAGATTTATTACTGCTCTTTACTTCTGGGCTACAGAAGCTTTTTCTGGTGTTGTAGCTCCTAGACCTGTGAGTGAACAGTGGAAGACACAGCGTAGCTCTACTGCAGTTGTTTCCTTTCACGACTGTATATAAGAATTTTTTCTGTATAGCTCTAATTTATAATTTTACAAAGGGTTTCTGTGTAGAAATAATAAACATTCCTTAGAGAGGTGGATGTCGTTTTCTGTCTTGTTTTCTCTTGGGAAGGCCTATTTACACCAATACCACCTCATGAGGAAAAGGGGTTTTGGACAGTTCTGCTTTCACCAATCTCCTCAAGACAACCAGAACCCTAAAGACACTGCTCCAGTTTTATTTCACAGATAGTACAAGATATAATTAAGTACAAAATGTCCTTTACTTTCATTATTTTAATTAAGGCTGACCATCTGCTCTTGCAACCAAGCTGCTCAGTTAAGTACCTGTGATTCCTCATGAGTTGAACTCTCCTCTTCCAGGATCCAAAAGCAATAAATCCCTCTGGGGAAAGCATGAGGATATTCAACGAAACCATGACCAGAAACCTGAGTCCAGTTATTGCCAAGAGTGTTGGGTTAGAGTGAGCAGTGCTGCCCACAGTCAGCAGTAGCCCTGCTCAGGTTTTCTCTGAGACAGACCAGAGCTGTAAGAAATGCAGTTTGGGGCTGAAAACGTTCTAGATCATACATCTTTTAATGACAAAATGCAACCCAATGCTAGAAATACTAGCTTACATAAAACTTAGCTGCAGAAGATGTGTGCCCGAGGCAACTGCTGTTGCAATACCTGCTCTCAGCTATCCTAGCTGCTCTGCAGTGTGCGCTGCGAGCCGAGCTGGCAGCAGCTGCCTACCTTGCAAATCATTAACATCATAAACAGGAGTCACACTGGGCACAATCAGTTAACAGAAGGAGCTTCTGTAAATGCTTTTCCCTGAAGTGCTGAGAGTTTTCTTGGAAACCTGCCTATTTCTAAGTGGCTGTGCAGAGCCACCTCACAGCACATCAATGTTCCGCTTGTCCAGAACATAACGCTGCTCTATAAAAACCAATCCAGGGTAAAGCTAAAGCAACACTGCTCTCAAATCAGTTGTGGAGCTGTACCGTAATAATCATTATTCACTGTTCTGTCAGAGGTCAAGGGCAGAGATAGCAGGGAGCTCTGGCCTAAGTCAACTAAGACAGCTGCATTTACAGCAGCTGCAAGAGATGAATGAACACAGCAAAGGTGCAAATCAGTGCTCCTAACAATGAGGTCAAATGACAGTTAATGGCCGAGAACAACAACAAGGACAAAATGAAATGTGACAGCACCTGAAGCCAGTTATTTTACAGCACTTTTAGCTTAGTACCTCAGGCTGTGAGACCTGCTTGCTTTACCAATAGTGCTGTAAAAAGGAGGTACAGTAAAATCACTGCACGTGTAAACTAGCTGAATTATCACATCTCAAGGGAAAAAGCCATCAGTAGCAGGAACTTTGTGTCTTCAGGCACGTGAAAATGAATGAGAAATTGAGATTTTTATCTAGGTTGCAGCAACAGGTAAACTCACTCTTAGGCCAGTTAAATAAAAAACAAGTATCATTCATTCGTGTCAGTGCAGGAGCATCCTTTTCACCAAGCAGTTTATCCTCAGTCAGCTTTCCTGGGAATCCGCCCCATCTTGGTGCGGATGTTCCTCAGTAAGAAGAAAGCCACAGTGCTCACAGCACAGGTGATTTCAGCCACCCAGAAGGCTGTGGCCCAGCTGTAGTGCTTGGCAATGGTACTGAAGGGCAGTCCAGCCAGAAATCCCCCAACTGTAATGAAAACAAACAGAAAGCTAGCAACACTTGAACTTCTCACTTTCACCTGGCGATTCTGCTTTCTAACTTTTTGTTTTAGGTATTGTTTGAGCTTAAAGCACGTGACAAAAACCTGTCACATACACCAGAAAATGTCTCTGGGACTTCCAGCTCACATGTCTGCTTGTTAGATGTCTTCCTGTGATCACTAACTTGGCACTGAGGGGTCATGCCATACCTCACCAACAACATGAGTCAGTTTCTGGGAAGGGGGGAATGGACATTACTCACCATTGGCCATCAGAGCCACAATGGCATGGGAGGTGCCACAGAGGTTGGCAGGGGCACTTTCGTTGGCTATAACCCCAAACAGGGCGATGGGCCCATATGAGGAAAACCCAAACACGGCTCCCAAAGTCAGGATCCACAGCTGTCAAAACAAACAAGATCTTTGTGTTTTGCCACTGCCAAGTCAGCAGCTACATAGGTGCACAGTACGAGGAAGAGGCTTAGACATTTTCTGGCTGGCACTGATTCCTTAATCTGCAGACAGAAGAGCTCAAGCCTCAAACAACAACCCAGCTGCATCTCCTACACATCAGTCAGCAAGGGCGAGCTTCCCACTGTCCTGCAGGTCAGCCTCTAAGCTGTGTGCACACGACATGCCCCATTCTGTAAGGAAGAACCAGAACATAGATGGGCATGGGTAACAGGCCTGTGAAATGACAGAGAACTGCAACTCAGATCATCTCTAAAAATGATTCCAGGGACACTTGACTAAAAAAGCCATTCTCAGTTCAGATGCAAGCAATGGATCAGATAGGGAGAAAGACTAGCTAATAACTTTGCTGTCACTAAACAGAAACAACAGTAGCAAAACAGCAACAAAAGCTCAACATTTTCAGTTTGGTGTTAGCATACACAGAAACATTCTGAAGCAGGTAGTTCTTTCTAATCACTTATGGAAAGACAACAAAGGGTAAGTAACTGTCCAGCCTCCAGATCACAGCATGCCTTATGAACAACACACACTGTTTCAAGATGCTCAGGAGGGAGTAAGCACCATCGTATAGAATCAGGAAAGAACTTGCCAAAGTTACACAGAAGAGCACCTGCAGGAGAAGGATCATTCCTTCTGAGCACACTCAAACCCCCTTAAGTAACTAAATTTCACCCCATGAGCAAATATCCTCAGAACTTCTTATATGAAACTTGAGAGTTCTGGATTCAGACTTTTTACAGTCAGTTAGTGTTATCAAATGGTTGTAAGAAAAGGTTTCTTTTACGAAACTTACAGTAATCTTCTGAATGCCCTGGTTCTAAGGTCTGTAGTGCTAACCAACCTTGCAGGATTGGAAAAAAGCAGATCAGTGAAAGCAGAAACGGGCAGAGGGAGAAAGAAATGCAAGGCAGAAACCTCGTGTTCTTTTAGGCCTGTAAGATCAGCTAGAGGTTGGAAGGCTACAGTCCAGAAGTGATTTTCCTGAAGAAGAAAAGAGCAAGATGGAGAAAATATACATTTCAGTTATTTAGCAGTGTCAGATTCAAGTCAGGTTTATGCTTAGAAAAAACTGCCAGCTATCTTTAATGCTGAGAA